TCCATTACATCACCCGCTGTCTGAACACGAAAAGCACACCTTATGAATATGGTGAACCGACCGAGCAAGGATACTACCAGAAAATAGCTGCCGCATTCAAAGCTGCTACAGGGACTCGGAAATTCAACGGGCCCGTCACTGTCGATTGTGCAAATGGAGTAGGCGGACCTAAGCTGCGGGAGCTCATCAAGTACCTGTCTTCTGCCTCTGAAGGTGGCCTTGAGATCAAAGTCGTCAACGACAATGTCGTCGAGCCAGAGCGTCTGAATCATCAGGTAGATTGTTCTCAATTGTACTCACACGAAGAGCCGTCTCTGACGCATGACGATACAGTGCGGAGCAGACTTTGTCAAGACGAATCAGCGTCCACCACCATCGTCCCACGCTGCCCCCTCGGCACGCTGCGCATCTCTCGATGGCGACGCGGATAGGCTGATGTACTATTTCAACGACTCCGACTCCAGCTTTCATCTATTAGACGGTGACCGCATCGCTACCCTCGCCGCCCTCTTCATCGGTGACCTCGCCCGCAACGCTGGCCTCGGCGAAAAGATCAAAGTCGGTGTCGTGCAAACTGCTTACGCCAACGGCGCCAGTACATCATATATCACCCAGGATCTCAGGCTTCCAGTCGTATGTACACCAACGGGTGTGAAGCATCTTCACCATGCAGCGACTAGATTCGACGTGGGCGTCTACTTCGAAGCCAACGGCCATGGTACCGTCGTATTCTCGGACTTGGCCCTCAAGCGCATTGGCAAATATGAGCCTCAATCACCAGCCCAAGCCTCCGCTCTCGACACGCTGCGCGCCCTGACAGCCCTGATAAATCAAACTGTTGGGGACGCTCTCAGCGATCTTCTCCTTGTGGAAGTGATCCTCGCTCACAAAGCTTGGGGTCCTAAAGAGTGGCATCTCACGTACACGGATCTCCCCAACCGTCTTGGCCGGATCGAAGTTGCAGACCGCAATATCTTCAAGACAACCGATGCCGAACGGAAACTAGAGAGTCCGCCAGGCGTTCAGGCCCAGATCGATGCATTGGTTGGGAAGTACAAGAATGGGAGGAGTTTTGTGAGGGCGAGTGGCACGGAGGAGGCCGTGAGGGTTTACGCAGAGGCCGCCACGAGGGGTGAGGCAGATGACTTGGCAGCAAAGGTTGCGGATGTTGTTAAGAGGGCCGGTGTCTGATACAATTGTCCGTGCATGGATTACATTTAGCTATACAGAAGCAAGGGAGGTTCAATGGATATTGGCGGTAGGACTGGGACTTGGCGTCTAAAAGTTTGCTCAGCATTACAGAATGAGAAATCATTCATACTGAAATCTGGTTCGATGGCTTTATTGTTTGTTTAGTTTGCTGTACTCTTGGACAGTCAGCCTTCCTCCCTATCCATATCGTTCCTACCTTTCTTGCCACCTCCAGGCTTTCTCCCTCTTAACGTGGCACCCTTCGTCCCTCTCTTCTCATGCAAGTCCTTCATCTCCCTAATAGCCATCCTCTGCGCCTCCCCCACCCGTTCCGCCAGAATCATCACCTCCGCCCTATCCGTCTCGTACTCACCCAACTTCTTCCCTAATGCTGCTTCAATCTTCTGCCATACTTCGATGTCGTACTGTAAAAAGGCTCATTTAGCTTCTCCAAATGGTTTATTGAGTGAAAACTGAAATGGGTTTTTTTTAAAAATTGAGAAAATTACCTGAGTAACCATACTGATCGCATGCCCGCTTTTCCCTGCTCGTGCCGTACGGCCGACTCTGTGGATATAAGTTTCTGAGTTGTGGGGAAGGTCAAAGTTGAGGACTACGTCAACCGAGGGTATATCCAGACCTCGAGCGGCAACATCCGTAGCAACAAGTATATCTCTACTTCTCGCACGGAACTTGCCCAGTGCACCTAATCTGGAAGATTGCGAGAGCTGGCCATGGAGCGGAATAGCGCCAAATCCAAGAGCCCGAAGCAATATAGCTATTCTCTGAGTCTCGTTGACAGTGCGAGTGAAAATGATTACGGATTTTGAAGCGAATTCGTTCATAAGCCATGCCACGTACACGTCTTTGTCTTTGTGGGGAATGAAGCAGTAGCTTTGTAGGAGGGTGGAGACCGTTTGGTATTTGTTTGTACTGATGGAGACGCGGAGAGGATTGGAAAGGGAAGCTCGCTGGAGGCTCTCGACTTTTGAGGTCATTGTAGCCGAGAAGAGACAGGTGCGGCGCTCTCGTGGGAGGACTTTGAGGATCTTGGTAATGATTGCGCCAAAGTCTGTCGGGGTTTTTGGAGTTAGGTCTTCTCTTGTTATAAAAGATTGCCATGAGTAAGTAGCATACCAAGGTCAAGAAGGCGATCAGCCTCGTCCATTACTAAGTGCTTGATTGACCGTAGAGAGAAGCCTTTTGTGTTTTCGAGGTGGTCTGGCGGGAGTCAGTGCATGAGAACAGTCATTGAACAGGGTTTGTCTACCGAGCAGTCGACCAGGTGTAGCACTGCAAGAAATCAGCTATAGCATAGCGGTATAGAGTAATGGCCTTACACTACTATATGAGGCTTCTTGCCCAGGGCAATGGATTGGGAGATCATGTCCATTCCTCCCACCACAACGGCGACTTTGACCGAGATGAGGGCACCCAAAGCTTCAAATGCTTGGGCGATTTGGTAGGCAAGTTCGCGAGTAGGTGCAAGACAGAGACCGAACAAGGATGACTGCGGGCTCTCCATCAAAGCTGATGACTCGTCAGTATGAGTCAAGTGGGATGATGATCACGGCTACAAGCTCACCCTGTAGAATTGGAAGTGCAAACGCAGCCGTTTTCCCACTGCCAGTCTCTGCAAGCCCGATAATGTCTCTTCCTTGCAGAGCCAAAGGTATTGCTTCGGTTTGAATCGGAGTCGGGGCCTGAGGATTTCAGCAAGAATTGAGACCGAGATTGCGATTAGAGGCGAACCTCGTATCCCAATGCTGTGCATGCATCACACAGCGACTGTATAATCCCAAGGTCTTGGAACGACTTCGAAGCATGGCCTTTTGCTTCGATCTCAACCTCACTCGTAGACCCTGTTACCAGTGATGGCTCTGAAGACGGTTGTGGAGAAGATTCTTTAGCGGGTTCCGGCGCTGTTTGCTTTGTGTGCGTAGATGTAGTATGTTTCACTCTCTTGGATGGTATCCCTTCATCTTTGTGTGAACTGCCATCGGCCTTTCTCTTCTGTATGGGAGACATGTTTAGTCTTTCTGAAAGTACATAATCAGAACTTGTGCTTGTTCAGAATGGACTTTGTCACGAGAAAACATTTCGACGCTAGCACTATCGATAAGGGCCGCCTAAGCGAGGTCTTTAAAAGTGTTACAAGCAAAATACACCTTAAACAGCTCGCTCCAAATTCCACACCTTTCAATGGCGCGACGACGTACTAAGAAGCGTACACATGTGGGTGCCCGCAATGGGCCCTCAAATGGAGTTACCGCCAACTCATCAGCTACCAGAGAGCCACGGAGCATGGTCATAAGGATCGGAGCAGGAGAAGTTGGACCCAGAGTCAGCCAGCTAGTGAAGGATGTCCGTTCTGTGATGGAACCGGGTACGGCCAGTCGTCTGAAAGAGAGGCGTTCAAACAGACTACGAGACTATACTGCTATGGCTGGTCCGTTGGGTGTATCTCATCTCTTACTCTTCTCCCGCTCTGCAACCGGAAATACAAATCTCCGCCTTGCACTCACACCTCGAGGACCTACACTACATTTTCGAGTCGAGCAGTACGCGCTCTGTAAGGATGTGCAAAAGGCACAAAAACGCCCACAAGGCGGTGGCAAAGAATACCTCACGGCGCCTTTGCTAGTCATGAACAACTTCATCTCGCCTACAGCCGATGGTATACAGCCTACGGTACCAAAACACCTCGAATCTTTAACAACTACAATATTTCAATCTCTATTACCGCCTATATCACCCCAGTCAACTCCTTTATCTTCCATCCGCCGCGTCCTCTTGCTCAATCGCGAGATATCAAAAGCGTCGCCTACTTCGAATACCCCAAAATCTGAATCAAGAGAAGACGGCGCTTATGTTCTCAATCTTCGCCACTATGCTATCACAACCCGCCGTACTGGTATCTCACGGGGCATCAAGCGCTTGAACGCTGCAGAGAAAATGCTTAAGCAAAACACGAAGAGCAAGCGAGGGCTTCCCAATCTAGGCAAGCTGGAAGATGTCGCGGACTACCTGCTTGACCCCTCCGCCGCAGGTGGTGGCTTCACATCTGGCAGCGAGACTGAGGTGGAGACGGATGCCGAGGTTGAGGTATTGGAAACGAGTACGAGGAAGGTGCTGAGCAAGAAACAAATGGCGGCGTTGCGGAAAAGTAACGGCGACCGGAAACCACATTCAATGGGACGACCGAACGTAGAGAAGCGAGCTGTAAAGCTTGTCGAGCTCGGTCCACGGATGAAATTACGCATGACGAAGGTCGAGGAGGGCGTGTGTGAAGGAAAAGTAATGTGGCATGAATCCATCGAGAAGACGGCTGAGGAGATCAAAGAAATGGAGAAGGTCTGGGATACAAGGAGAAGGGAGAAAGCAGAGCGGAAGAGGGTGCAGAAGGAGAACGTTTTGAGGAAGAGAAATGAAAAAGGAGCGAGAAGCAAGAGAGCGGGTGGGGAGGATAAGGATGTGAAAGATGGAGAAGAGGAAGATGTGAGTGAGGAAGAGGACGTGGACATGTACGAGGATGAGTGGGATAGTGAAGGTCTAGAAGGGGACGGAGAACTGGAAGTCAACGACGGAGACGAGGATGGAGTTGCCATTGGTTGAGAAAAGCATGCATATATACCCTAACGAAATGCGTTTCATGTCGCCAATGGGTCGATTTATGTCTGTCAATATGAAGATGGTAGCTCATATCGTCTGGCTGCGACTGTGGGTCTAAGCTAATCAGTCGAAATCGTCCAAGTATCTTGGCTCTCCCTTTAATCGTGAATCTCCACTTTGCTGATACCTGGATCCGGCTATTGTCCCTCTGAGACCGGAAGCTGCCGTGGTAGTCCTCGAAAATGCTGGTGCGGGACTCGACATTGAAGTCTTTGCTCCGGTGATTTCCCGGGGTTCTTGATGCAATCAAGGCACAGACCCTCAAACCTCGTCAAGGCAGCTTCTCTGATTTTGGCGACCTTAGCAGCCACGTTCTCTGGACAGCGTGAGCACTTCTTGAGTTTAGTGATACGGCTTGCCAATCCAACATCACATGCTTCGAGCTTCTTGCACAACATTGAGATGCTCAGGCGGTGGACCGCCGAAGTCAAAGGCCATAAGCCTTGCCTGGAGAGGCCGTTGATAAGCGAGCTGATGGAGATGCAATCGCAGTGGGAGAAAATGATGTCGTCTGAGCCTAGGATGAGATCGCCTGCAGTGGATTTTTCTGCAATGGGGCTGATGAGCTGCTCAATTTGGATTTGCATTTCTCTCTTGACGTCTTGTTCGGCAAGGAATATGGCCTCTTTGACAACGTTAACCTTAGAGCGATTTGGAAAATTGGGGGTGCCTCTTAGGACCTACCAATTAAACCTTCCGGAATATGGCTCTCAATCTCCTCTGGTATGCCGTACTTTCTTGACGCGGTCTGAGCTTTACCGTCGTTGGGTAGGTTTAGCATCATGAATTTGGTAAGGCTGTTAAAGAATTGGGCCTCGTCAAAGGCATAAGCTGGCCAGAGCAGGCGGCTGGGTTCCTTGGTGTGTTTGGTATTATAAATCTCACACCTTCCCCAGTAGCACATGGCACACACACACTATTGAAGTTCCCCAAGTCAGCGTGTCTTCATCCTGGCAATGACCCTCGCTACAACACAATTCAAAAATAATTGACAAGGGCCTCTTGCTCCCACCACTCCCAAAATACAACTTGCGAGCAAATCAATGTGTTCGCCCGGACGAATATGTCTTTGAAAACATACATACATCGTATTTATCAGTGACGACAGCAAGCCTCTCAAGTCTCTCCAGACCGATGCCCTTGGAGAAAGCGCACTTATGGTGGAGGACGGCGCACATAAACAGCATACTTTCTGCATCATCATCATGGAGTTGGATACGACTGGCTTTGCTTGAAGTAGGCTGTCCTTCCGCAAAACTTGGGCTAAAGAGTGCTTTAAAGACCGGCGATGCCAGGCTCAGGACTTTGGATGAGACCTGGAACTCAGTCTTGCCGCAGATGAGGATGACATCCCCTTCAGGATCGATGACATTGGTTTTGGCCATATTGGGGGTACTAACGGACAAAGAAGCCAAGGCAGATGAGAGGTTGTCGCAGTTTTCTGAAAATCATTTGTATCGAAAAGTGAAGTTCGAAGGTTGAGTGGCTCAAACATCATTATGGTGTAGGCAAAATTCACTTGGAGTCATGCGGCAATGCCAAAGCGATATCTAGATAGAATGTCCCTACAGACTGCGTATATGCAACATCATCGCATTGCATCGTACCTCACATTTGAAATCCAACCTTTAAGTATCACGCAGGCCCTGATATGAAAACAGCGTAGATTCATGGGAGTTACACATTCCCGGGTATCCTGGGGTAAGTCTGAGGTTGGTGACCGACACTGTCGAGATTTAAAGTCCTGCAATGTAGAGTGCATCATAGCTCTCTCCCAGTACATACTTACATATTGTTGCTTTCGAGTAGCATTAATGTTTGAGAAGCGAAAGCTTTGCTTTTTTGGATTTGTTCCAACGTGAGAGGCGGCCTTGTTTTTTAAGATGAGTTTTTATATTGTGGGAAGAGAGTATCCAGTCGAGCAAGGCGAATAGAGTGGCCTTGCAATCTTTCGCTTCATTATAACACCTACCTAGTGACGCCTTGTCTGCATTGTTTATCTTATTAACCCTCTTCGTTTTCTTGGTCAGAGCTCATAGTAGAAATGATAGGGAGTTCTGCATCTATAGGAAACGTGGAAAGCATTTCACGTGGGTCGAACACTGCCAAGAAAAGGGTCCAGCTGTCGGGTAATGCCCGGGGGGCTGCCAGGACAATGCGCTTAGACCTGCTTCCGAACTGCGCCTGACCTGAGCCCAGTCTGGAGCCCATTGCCCCTGTCATACCTAACAGAGGTCTCTGAGATTCAACATGTGCGCTCCCAGAAAATAATTATAGAACCCTCACCACAGGGTCGCCTTCCGACAACAGGGTTAGGGCTACTAAAAACTGGCGTCTTGGCAGGTGCAGGAGCTTCGGTGCAGACCTCCGTACATACAGCACATTTAATTTCGAACTACTATCCCAATAGAGTCTAGAAATTAGAAGAAAAAAGATTTCAGCCTCGGGCGGCGTGACCCGCCCCCCAGATTGATCTACCAAAACAAATGCCATCTGTCTAGAGTATCAATTCAATCAATCAATCACCAAAACGAGTCGTCATTTGATTGGGCTCTACCAGCAACTACCATGAAGGGACGTCATGATCTGCAATCCGAGCGATCAAACATAGCACTGGACCGTGTCAAATTATGAAGGGTAAAGTTCCAAAGACCAATTCTTTGAAAGTGTCTCAAAGAGTCAACTGGTGTAGGGACCCTCCTCTTTCGGGTTTTCGACGATCTTTGGTAGAGACGTGGAGACGCATGTGACCCGTACAGAAGGCTGCTGTCGCTAGGAAAGTGACGAATGTTTGTGGTGACGTCCTTATCCCGAAAGACACCTTCAACGCACTCGGCGAGAGTCTCTCCAGTCATGTAGGAAGGTGCTGCCAAGCAACCCCAATTCACCTTTTATACAGAGATCTTCTGTCTCGAATGAAGAAGATCGTGGAACTCGAAGATTTGGGGCAGAAAGGTCTCAGAGCTGATGTCCTGGGTGTGTTCTACATGAACAGATGGTCAGATACAGAGAGCCAAGAGGTCCGCTTGACGTGATCTAAGTATGGCTTGCTGGGCTAGACTAACGATCTCGATGACATGATTGTGCAGTACGAAACATTAACACAAGCTGCTCACCAACAGGCAACTTCGGGAAATGATTCAGAAGAGTTGCATTTTCATGCTTCTCCACCACAACTTGGGCTATCCAAGGTGGAACAGAAACGCCAGTCATACCATTCGCTTACAAATGTTGTATGAAAAAGGCACTGAGAATCTCTCTTCGTGGGTGATCCGGAATAACCCTATGTCGCAGGGGTAACTCTTCAAGAATGCGGATGGGCGAAGTTTACGTCACGACTGCAATCTGGACACCAGCAAGATCCGCTACGCAGAGCAATCGCCGGCGACCACAGGATGAATGGTTGTGGAACACGCTAGGACCCCAATACCGTCAGTCTGAGGAAGAACAGTTGAAACTTATAACCCCACATCCCAGTATCCTGATGCTTGAGGATACGATTAATCAATTGTAGACCGGTCGACGATTCTGCAAGCCAAGAGGTGGCTACATTGGGCTTGTTCCGTCCAATTTGGCCACTGGAATTAGATCGTGTGTGCTGTTAGGGGAAGGACACCGTTTGTTCTCCGCCCATGCCACAACAACGCCAGAACTAAGAGCAGCCAAGATCCTGAGTATCTTTCATAAGCGATGTGTAGTACACGGATTGATGGATGAAGTGGCTATGTACATGTGGCCATCGATATGCAGACTCTCAATATGAGATAGCATTCACTACTGCCGACTCGCGCCTTCTTCGTATTACAGCTTTGGGTTCGTGCCCACTCAGACCGACGGTAGCATCTATTTCGATGACTTGCAGTGGCAAATCATCGGGATAAAGTGTCCGGCTTTCGCCTCACGATACGGCTTGACCACTTTCAAATCACAAAGTGATGCGAAATTTGTTTGGGATCTCAAAAGGCTTTGGTCCAGCTCTCTCCATCTTTGTTCTTGGCTCAAGGTAGGTACCGTCTGGAACTGTAAGCTCCTTCCTCCCATTTCCATTCGGTTGCCTGGTGATCAAGCATGTTCTCTGGCAGGAGGCGCTCTCAGACCTTTTTTCTCTCACGGTGTTTGTTTCTTCATCGACTCTGTCATTGGCATCCCTTTTGGATACATTAACTCATTTAGCATTCATCACTCACCTTTCTGCCTACAATCGGCCGCCTGCGGTCTCCTACGCAATCTGACCCAGTATGCTTTCACGCGGCACGAGCAGCGCTTCGCAACAGCCTCGACGAGCCAAATCAACCCCATCGATCAGGCCTCGATCAATTATTCCCACGTCACCCACCACAAACAATGCCGAGACTACACATCAGGAAGCTCTTACTGCTGCCAACCTTGCCTTCGAACGCGCGAATGAGCGCGAGATGGCCAAAAAAGCCCCCAATGGGCAAGACACAACCTCCATAGCGAACAAAGATGCTGGGCCAAGGCTTGGGAGGAGGCAGAGTGTCCGTTTCGCAGGACCAACAGCTATACCATCACGGAATCGCTCTATCACTCGTAGAGAGGCCCCAGGCTCCAGGACAAGCCTCAATCCTTACGAAAGCCAATTGCAGTCCCGGTCTCGGAACATCGAGCCCTCCATCTACTCTGATGAAAGAGCATCGACCGCCTTAGCTCAGCCAATTGGAGAATTCGGCGAAAGCGATAATGCCTCTGTCCCCTCATCGTACCGAAGGCTCCGAAAAGCGAAGTCGATGTTTAGCCCCGGCAAGACTCCGTCTGCGGTCTTCGGTGATGGTATACCGTATAGCAGGCGTCACTTTCATCGTCAATCACTCCAATCTTCCGATGCTTACCACGAGCCGCTCCAAGTGCCTGATCCTCGCCTACGAAAGTCGAACTCCTTTTTCCGTGGTGTTACGGATCGCATATCAACCAGTAGTCGGCAGTACGTCGCCAACGATGCAGCTGTCCAGCTTGCCCGAGATCAGTATCTTCGTCAATTAGAGCAACAGAGGTTGAAAGAGCAACCGTCGTTCCTTGGCCTTGGCAATCGTCGCAAATCCCAAAAAGGGTTCCGTAGGACTGTTCGTACCAGTAGCACCAACAGCTACGGTAGTGCAATAGCGTCTCCATTGGCGTCTGTGGAACCACCGAAGAATAAAGATCTTGGCCACAGAGCCAGGAACCTGTCCCAGACGATCAAAAAGAAGTTCAAGCGGGTGTTCAAGCGACATCCAGACGCCGAAGATACGATTCCCGTGCAGCAGATCAAGGCAACCCACCCTCACTATGGGGACTACATCTCGACATCCGATGGCAAAGAGCAGCGTTATCCACCTGTGCCGGAACCCGACGCTGAGCTCCTCCTTCGCGTGGGCTCTCGAGAATCAGTAATGTATACTACGCCAAATTTCGTTGACAAGGGTGCTCGCCCAGGTAGCATCCGAAGCGCCCATAGCGATGACGACGAAAGCAACGGCAAATCAAGGGTCACTAGTTGGACGGATTCCACAGCTGCAAACACGATCAACATGCCGCAAACATTAGAAAGGAAGCGCCTTTCAATCATAAAGGAAGATGGAGGTCCACATCAGCCATCGTCTTCTGCTCGCCAGTATGAGGAGGGCAACAATGGGTATGCAAGCTTCCGTCAACCAGTGAGGCAAAGTAGTGCAGGCCGTGTAAGTGGTCCAATAGACCCGCATAGGATTTTCTCTGCGCTGCAAAAGAAGATCGACGAAAACAACCGCGAGGCCGCTCTGGACGATAGTGAGCCAGGGACCGATAGCAGCTCCAGCCATCACAAGGCTCGGCTGTCTACGCGAGCTCCCAGAAGAACATCAAGCATCCGCAAGGGCGCTAAAGCCAAATCCAACTCTCGTTCAGGTTCTCGTGGGGCAAAGGTATCAAATTCCGTGATCTTCAGTCCCTCTGCGATGGAATCTTTCAACGATAATTTCTTACAATATGAGAGCCAAAGTACTAATAAAAGTTACCAGCAGCAAGGCTTTTCGGACTTAGGAAAGGGTCTCACACAAGAACGGATTGCGGAGATGAATGAGCGTGGGATTCAGCTACCAAAAAGACCCCTCCACGAAGTGAAATCGGCGTTTTTCCCCCCATCTATGCGCATCGAAAGAAGCAACCCAAGCCCATACAGACGTGCAATGCACGCAAGCAGTGAGACCGAAGCTGACTCTCAAATCCGCATCGATTTTGAGGATCGTCCGCAATTGGAGGGCCCCTCGAGTGCTGTTACCGGCCGGCTACGCAATGATAGCGTCACTGGATCGGACAGTGTCTATTCTAGATCCTCAGGTGGCGATACACCGAAGGCAAATAGAAGCTCGATCTCGCTTGCCATGTCCGAGAGCAGTGGTGAAGCTGGGACTGCTATCATCATTACGGGTCAACCTGGCAAGAACGAGCGGTCAGCTCATCCTGTCGTTATCCAGCATGGATATTCATCCGAAGCGTCAAGTGGAAATTGGAGGAATTTTATGGCTACGCAGGTGGCTTCCCTCGAAGACTATGGGACGCGGCAGGAACAAACGTATGACGCGCATCCAGTCAAAGACAGCGGCCACAGAAGGGAATATGCACAGGTTGATAGTAACGACGTAAACATCGGTAGACTGCAGTCGCCAACTGATATCCTCAAGCAGCCTCTCGCGATCATCCAAGGCAACTCCAACCTTTTAAAAGCGTCGAAGCATAAGGTTTCTCGCTCGCTGGATAGGTCACCTCTTGTGAATATTCGCCATTCAGCTAATGCAGGTAACGTCCAACAAAACGATAACGCTCCATTGAGTAGAGCTTCTGAGAATTCGCGTAAAATTTCGAAAGTGGAGAGTGAGAGACGCTCTCTCAGTCGAGTCCACGAACCATCCGGGGGCCTACGGCAGAAAAATTCACACTCGTCTCTCAAAATGCAGACAGAACAAAGGCACTCGCCTACCACAGCCAATATCCGGTATAGCCCAGAAAGGGTAGAACGCCTTCGCCGGTTGAAAAGCAGTAGCGGCACGTCTTTGGGAAAGTGGTCACCTCGGAACGAAAATCAAGCATCTCGTCACACACCACCCGGCGAAAAGGACTACGATTCGCACAGTCCTGCCCCAAGTTCAGACGTTCCCCAAACCCAAGCCGGGAACAACCACAAGTTGGTTGACAGCTTCTTGAAAGGTCGCAGGAGTGTGATGAGAATTAGTGAAGAGAGTGGCACTGATCCTGCTTTTTTATAGATGTGATGGTCTTGGAGATGGCGTTCTATTCTCAAGTATAATTCATCTCATCGCAATTGGGCGACTCCTGGGCATGCTTATCGCCTAGCACTTTGTCTGTCAACCCTCGAAATCCAAATAGACATAGCATGCTGTGGAGCATAATCTTAGGAATTCGTGGGTCTGCAGGGTTGAAGAATTGGAGGAGTCGAAGCTGTCAGGATAGGCGTTAAAAAGTAGATTACAATGCAGAGTGTTCAACAGCTAACATCATACTGCTCAGACACTCTATCATTGTGCCGTAGCCTCAACATATGTAGTGTAGGTGTCTACTTTGGGTTCTCTCAAGAATGACAGCAATATGCTTTGACAAGTCAAACGGGCAGGAATCTGCCCCAGCTCAACAGGCGCTTCTCCGTGGCTGCGGAACAAGTAATGCGAGGCACGATTGACCTGAATCGAAGATACTCTACAAGTTCTGGCATGAGAGCTCCAGGTATCTCTCGAGTCCACCTCTGCAAAACGCCTTTTCATGCCAATCATGTAGCGCACCTCGATCATTCCCGCTCGAGATCGACTAGGCTGTGAATGCTGGTGCTTTGCTAGATACGAGTAAGCCGATGATAAGCCCGAACAATCCCAAGACAGAGCTGAAGATCTCTATAACAAGTACTTTGACGAATCTAGAGATAGACCGTTAGCAGGGCCTTTTCGATGGTCTTGTTAGAAAGTTTTCCCGCTCACAAACTTGGATCCGCAGCATCGGCCAGTGCTGCGCTACTCCCGTTGATCCCCACCGAGACACCACATATCAAGTTGCACATGCCAACTGTGAGGCCCGACCAAAAAAGAGCGTACCCAGTATACTGATTGGAGGCTGAGTAGGCAGCTTCTCCTTCAACCATTTGCAGTTTTGAGGAGAATACGATGGCCATGATGACGCCGTAAATTGCCACGACTTCGCAAAAGATAATCGATATCAAGTTCTTTGTTCTTATTCGAGGTGCCTTGACACCGCCGCCGAGGATCGAGGAGCCGGTGATGAAAATTCCCCTGTATGAAATGTCTTAGTATCTGCCATCCCAAGACATGTATTCCTTTCTATACCATGCTGCCCCAACAACTGATAGCCCAATGCAGAGACCAATTCCTAGATCTGCCCATGCATATGGCGATACGCTCTCTAAAAATTGTCCAACCTAGTAATCGGCACCATCAGATACGGCTCTTGCGCATAGTTCGACGAGTCACCAACATTGAAGGCTTCCCCATCTCCAGTGAATAGTAGATCTGCCGCCCGTCAGCGCTGAGCACGAAGGTGCGGACTGGACTCTCGTACAAAGTCCCACGACCCCTAGAGCTGTAGTGCCCCCATATGCACCATAAACAAGACTCATGATTAATTTCCGAAGCTGATAAACGCAGAGACGGGGATGAGTAAACGGTGATGAGTGGAGAATGACATTGCTTCTGTCTGGCTCTACGGAGGCGAAGTTATTCCGCCCGATCGGAGGTTTTTTGGCCTCGGGCAGGTCGGCTAAATTGCCAGTCCGCTAAACACCATTCAGGGCAGCTCTCATGACTGTCCGTACAATTTACAATGTGATAGATTGAGCTTGTAGGCCTCCTCTCTCTCCTCGCTGATCATGCGCCTCTGTGCGCCAATCTTACTGCCAATTGCCGCCCTTTTCTATGCGTCATTGTGCCACGCCATCTTCGCAGACGAGGCTTACCAAACCGACTCCCACCACGCCCTGCTCGGACCTCCCCAAGCTCACACCACTTTCTTCCACCGTCCTTCGGCCGCGTCGAAGGCCTCACTTCTTTACACGCTCTCGGAGAAGCTAGTGCTCGGTGCAATCAATCCTAAAGATGGCGCGGTGATATGGAGACAGCGACTGGCTGATTCGGCCCATAATTATACTACTCCTGGTCTGTTGACTGCAGGAGAAGGAGGTGATACACTCGTTAGTGCGGTGGATGGGAAGGTCCAGGCGTGGGATGCAACAGATGGCAGATTGGTCTGGGAGTGGGACGGTGGAGATGGGACGAAAGTGGTAGATGTTACGCTATCAGCCGAAAGTGGAAAATATGTCTTAGTACTCAGTGAAGGAGAGGGCTCAGGTTTCGTTGTCAGAAATTTGGCTGCCGATACTGGAGAGGTGTTCTGGGAGTTCGGCGGCGGGAGGTACGCAGAAGAGCAGCGGATGGGTTCTATGGATATAGGCGAAGCTAATTGACCACAGTGGAGATGCACCCTATGCCGTCGTATCATCACAAGATCGCATATTCACCGTTTCGTTGCATTCGGCGCTCCTCAAGGGTCTCAAAATCAAAGTCGCAGAGCTGGCCCCTTCAAATGGGAAGCAGATCGGTCAGTCGATAGCGTTAAACTCAGACAGCGACGTTACATCAGAGGCTTCAATCCTGCACATCGGCGCAAACTCGGGTCAACCTTTTCTGATATGGACCGATAAAGCTCTCAAGACATTGAAGGTCAATAAGATTGGCACGAAACAAATTACAACTCTCAATGTTCCTTCCAGCAGCGGCGAGTCAGCCGAAAAAATAATTGTTCACACTCCACGATCTCCTACCGCTCGTCCGCACTTCCTCGTACACTATCAAGGTGTAGACTCGCACTGGGCGGAGGTGTTTCATGTCGATACTGATATAAAAAAAGCATATGATTTGCCGCGCCTCGGTGGAAAAGGTGCCTTTTCAGCTAGCTCCCAAGGTTCCAATGTCTACTTCGCCAGACATACTGCTTTCGAGAGCATCTTGGTATCTTCAACCGGACCGTCCATACTCAGCCATTGGGATATCCGTCCTAAAAGCCATGGTGGAATGGTGGATCCGCAGGACATCTCTCATGCTACCTCTGAGGTGGTATCTAAGGGTGGATCGACGTATGCGGTAAGGTCTGCTCTGACGTTGCCCTCAGGCGACTGGGAACTCATACGCAACGGCGACCCTTATTGGGTGAGGCCCGAAGGTCTTACCGGTGCAGTCGCCGCCGCGTTTGTCGAGATACCCAAGGAAGAGAATCTGGCCGATGAGCTCGCAGCAGAGAGTCACCGTAGTGTCATCGCAGCGTACGTGCACCGAGTCAAACGTCATGCAAGAGATCTACAACATTTTCCGTCTTGGGCACAAACTCTTCCTGCCCGAGTGCTAGGGAGCTTTCTTGGGGATAAAGCAGGCTCTCAAGACCAGAGTCTACGCCGTGATAGCTTCGGCTTTCATAAAATTGTCATCGTTGCTACAGAGAACGGCCGGCTTGCCGCACTTGATGGAGGTACACAGGGCAGAATTATCTGGAGTATTCAGGCTGTTACCCTAAAGGCGGGCGAAAAGTGGCGAGTCCTTAATATCGAAGCCGAACAGAATACTGCACTGGTACGATGCAAAGAAGGAGAGTTCTTGCGTGTCCAAACCAATACGGGTACAATCGTGCAGTATCAGCCTGGAGGTCTAATCAAGTCTCTGAAGACGTCTGTCTCCATCACGGATGCATCTGGAGAACGGCTTCTCATACCAGTCAATGATGACGGATCCATTGGAGAACTTCCCAAGGCAGATTTTGAAATAGGGACGACCATCGTGACAGATGCCGAAGACAATGTTGTCAGAGGCTGGGCCCTGTGGAAAGGTTCAAAGCCGACGTTGGCATGGCAGTTCACGCCAGCGCTGGGGGAGACAGTCAAGACGGTCACTACTCGACCTTCTCATGACCCTGTAGCATCGATTGGCAAGGTCCTCGGAGACCGCAATGTGTTGTACAAATACCTGAACCCCAACGTCCTACTTATCACAGCTCTTGGAACGGAGGCTTCGACAGCGACGTTCTATATCCTGGATTCGGCTTCTGGTGCCGTCATTTATTCAGCTACTCACGCTGGAGTTGACATAAGCCTTCCGATCGCTTCCACCGTCTCAGAGAATTGGTTCGCTTACTCGCTCTTCTCGGAGACTAGCTCTCTTTCGCAAGACGTGTCTGAGATTGATCAGCAGAAACTGAAGGGCTACCAATTGGTGGTATCGGAGCTCTCCGAATCACCCTACCCCAATGATCGGGGCTCACTTGAGACATCTTCCAACTATTCGTCCACCAGTCCTGCCTTCACAGACGGAGATGGGACATATGACGCACCGCACGTTTTGTCCCAAACCTTTTTGATCCCCGGCCCTATTTCCTCTATCTCCGTTACCTCCACACTTCAAGGAATCACTACTCGCTCCCTTCTCTGCGTCCTTCCCGATACTAATGCACTGGTATCCATCTCACGTGCATTCCTTGATCCGAGGAGGCCGGTTGGTCGGGATGCTACAGCAGCTGAAATGGAAGAGGGACTATTCAAGTATAGTCCTATGTTGGACTTCGAGCCCAAGTGGATCCTCACTCACAAAAGAGAGCTCATGAGTATTTCCGAGGTTGTTACCAGTCCGTCGCTCTTGGAGAGCACGAGTTTGGTATTCGCGTTTGGGGATGTTGACCTCTTCCTCTCGAGGGTTTCTCCCATAGGCGCATTTGATCTGCTGGGGAAGGGATTCAGTAAGCTACAGCTTGTATTGACAGTGGTGGCTTTGGCGGTGGGGACGACCGTTGTGGCTCCTTTTGTAAGTTTGAAAAAGCCATGTCTTCTGTCATCTCCTGCTGGACGCTGAGGCTGACACTTCTACTAGGTAAGAAAAAAGCAGATTGATGGAACATGGAAGGCTTAGACCCAATCATCAGTCAATGTAACAAAATCTAGATTCTGCTACAAATAATGGTTAACAGTGCATGTTAATCTATACCTCGTTGCGAAGTTGAATCTTCCCATTACTGCGCGCCCTCCCAGAACGGTGTCTTGAGGCTCTACTTCTTCAAATCCTTTGTACCCTCATCCAGACTTCTAGTGCTGAGTCCTCAGATCCCGTTACTTTCTCATCTTTCCTCTTTTGTGATCCTTTACTATTACACTACTCTCAATATATTCTCGAAGTCTGTTCCAGTGCTATCGCGATCTGCCGGGCTG